AAGATACTTCAGGAATCAATATGTTAACAATGAATTTAATTCTGAAGCACAGTTCTTTGGGAGGAGAAAGTTTTATACAGAACATCTCGAAACCAAGAAAGAAGTTATTTCAGTTAGGGTGACATTGTATTTTATGGCACAGAATATAAGTTCCTAAAATGCAGGTCATCATGCACACGCATGAGTTTTATAAATTTCCTCCAGATAATGTTTCCAAACTATAATCAATTAAAGTTAGTAATGAGTACAAGAAGGAAACATAAATCATTATAGTAGTTTCTAACATATGACAGAGCTAATTCTTAAACATGTTACCTTTTTCACTTAATAATTTATTATCTGCATAGATCTGTTAACCAATCATGATTTCAAAAATATTTTTAATGTGCTGTGTGTTAGTATCGGCTCTTACATATCCTGAAGTAGAGAAGCCTTCTAAGTATATTATCCTAGAATTTCTCAAATTCAACTATTAAAACATTTTTTTAAAAAACCATCAGACAGTAACAATTTTGGGGAACCAATGGTTTCAGAGACTCTATCAGGAAAACAGTAATATGAGTAATACTTATACTTCCCACAAGGTGTAAGAGTCAGGATTTATGGTATCCCACACATTGCATTTGACATTTACATAGGATGAACAGTCTTTGGGTTCTAATTATAGCCAACGGAGACCTTGAAGTTGGCTTATCCCCTGGGCTGCAGCATAAGGAGTGTAGGGGAGGTCTAAGGTGTGATCTGATGCCTTCATCCTCATTTTAACCATTAGAACTCAGGTGTTATCTGTTTGATACACATAAAAGGAACCTTCCCTCATTTTTTTTTTATTTTTATAAAATTTCGTGTTTAAAACGAAAAGTTTGAAAGGTGTTCTTCTTTATTATCAAGGAGAAACATAAATTATTTTCATTCATGGCCCTTCATTTAGTCTTGCTTCCATCCAATCAATGCAATCTGTATACCTCCACTAGAGTGACCTTTCCACAGTATAAATCAGATTTAGGTCAAACATGCACTGGACCATAATCCAGGAGACCAGTTTTTCACCCCCCAGCATTTTCTACATTTCCTTCCTTATAATTTAGCTTCCATGATATTGAACATCTCTTACTTCTGTTCATACACTGATCATTTTCACCCTCAATTTGAAACAGTGTCTCTGGGTGATAGATGCCCACAGGAAGGCCAATTTTGAGAATGTAGAACCCAGGCTTTCCCCAGGTTTTCTCCATCTCAGTCATCCACTGTTCTACTGGGTTTATGCTGCCAAACACATTTCTGATTATTTTCTTCCTATGTCTCATACCCTTCAAAGGTTCTTCTGTTCTTAGGATCAGATGCAATTCTTTACTAGGATCCCTTTCATAATCTGGCTCTTGGCTACCCACAAACTTGATCTCTCATCTTGTCTGACCTCAAATTCAGTGTTCTCCTTACTTACAGATATTTGTCTGGATAATCTTATCCTTGGTGTCTCAATTTCCAGGAAACCTTCCTTGAGTACCCAAGAGTGATATATATATATCCCTCCTGTATCTTTCAATAGAAAGCAAGTATTCATTAACTATTTATTTACAAATGTGACTGCTGCAATCTCTGTTTATATAGGAAATCTATTAATAGATATAATTAATGCATATATGAAGGATTAAAGGGATATAATGGCAACAAATCTATACTTTTAGCTATGGGAATTATATTAGTACTGCAACATCATACTGTGACATATTAGTGAGAAAACTTTTTCTAACACTGAAAAGGCTACATTTTAATAAGGATGAAGATTACAAAGAACAAGCTGAACTGTTATATGACAATAAACTTCTATGATGGAATCTCCCCAGCAACACTAAGGGAAACAGAAGAAAGTATTACCTCCTGCTAGGTTGCCAATGTAAACTGAAGTGTGGATAATGCAGTGCTATTTAGTGTGTCTTGTACTGTCTAGAAAATTCAGGGAAATAGTTTTCCCTGAGGACTTTCATGCACAAAGGACAAGTAATGAGAACTAGCTTGACATTCCCAGATCTGCTTCCAAACCTGTAGCAGTCTAATGTAAACTAAGGTCACGGAGACTCTATTCCCTACCACAAGTCTCTGATCTGATCTTCTAATTTATTTTTTCATTATTGTTTATTTTATTTTTAAAAATATATTGTAAGAAATGACAAACATGGTTGTTTGTTTGTTTGTTTTAAGGCAGCAATTCTCCCCATTGCTGATGTACTAACAGTGAAGAACTTGCTTTAAATGGAGCTCAGTTAAGCACTCAGTACACTTCCTCCCCTTTCCTGGAATCTATACTTTATCATAAGACCTTTGGTTTGCTTCCACAGTCACTTCAAAGCTGGAGGGCCTGCTCAAGATGCAGAGCAGACAGACAAAATGTGAACAGCTAAAGGGTATCAGTAGTATTGCTGTATGGCTTTCCCGAACCCAAACACTTAAAGAATCTGCTGGACATATATTTTTAAGGATTCTTTCCACATGCATATCAAGTAAAGAAAATAACAATATTATTTAATTGTCTTAATAAAATGTTGGAACAAACATGTTTTAATTTATATATTACAATTACATTTTTTTTTTCTTTTTTTTCTTTTTTGTATTTAAAAATAACTTTTGGGCTCATTCAATGGAGTAAGGCCACCTTCTTGTGGTATAGCCAGCTCAGTGGTTTGCCCAGGACTCTTCTGGTGCATATCTGTTGTCCTGACATAATTATTAATAGTTTCCTATTACTGTGCAAGTGTCACAGTTTTAGTGATGAATACTCTGTTCATCATAAGCAGACAAGCTCTTTCCTTCCCTCCCACTTCTCAAATGGCCTTGAAGTTAGGAACTTCCAGTAACAGAAAATGGGAAGATGGTGATTACCATTGGCTTTTTCTGCATCCAGCTTGTACTGACTAAAATCTCATTCTTACTAAATGATATGCCCTAGATGGCATCATAAGCATTTGCTTACGATCTCCTGAGTACTCATTCCTTCCTAGCACACTCAGGCGAGAATACCTCAACATGTCATACAGAATGTCCACATCTGGATTTTCTCCCTTACCACACAGAGATGAAACAGGACCCTGACATTGATTTAGATTATACTATCCTTAAAAGAAATCTTAAATTCAGGCATTCAGAAATGTGTTCAGATGAATTTTATTTCTTTCTTCTCATTTACGAGGTATGATTCTTTCCTCTTCATGTGATAGTTTGGTGACAATCATAGCTATAACACTTTCTTTATAAAATCACACTTTAACTTTTTTATAACCACTTTATTTTTAAAGTTGTTTATTACATTAATTTAATAATTATGAAATTGAGTAACAATTAAATTGGTAAATGTGTTTATTTAATACTCAGGAGCCTATCTGAATTGAATGGATATTTTATTCAAAAGAAAGTCTTTGGTCGTAGGAAAAGCTATGGCAATATCATTGGAGAGTGAGCAAAAGAGCCACAGCACTGGAAATTCCATATTTAGATAAATATTCTTTTGGCATTATGCAAAGGCAATGAGCTGGACAGTCAAATCAATCTGACCAGCATATGTGTGCTATTTAATTTCACTCAAAATTTAAAAAAAAAAATTGGCCATCCTTAAATAATGTGAGCTTTTGTGTGACAATCTTGATTTCTGGGTCATGAAAAATCCTAAGATCTCAGACACCAACCCACATTGTACTTGGCTGGGAGCTGCAGGACTGTACAATGGACTCCTATCTTTCCCAAGATCCAAAACCTCTCACCTTTTGCACACTGCCTTTCTTACACATTTATATCACTATCTTGTTTTATCTGTATTTGTTTTTGAAAATTCTGTACAATGCTTAATTTTTAGGTAAGATATAAGTTTCCCAGTAAAGGATTACTCATTAATCTTTAAAATTAGTAGGAATGAATATATGGGTTTATTTCTTAGGCCATACTTTGATAAAGGAAAAATTGGAGTGGATCTGAGGAATAGATTGTGTCATGGGAAGGAAAAGAATGTCCTCCATGGGGGCCAGAGCCCCAAGTCAGAAAATGCAGCAGTGACTCCAGCACTGGGAGATTATTGGTGGGTGAGGGGTCAGTTGTGTTTTAAGGTTTTTTAGATATTACTAACTGAGAAGATTCCTTTCATCATTCAATATACATCACTCTCAGAGGAAGATCCTTTGTGGAAAAGGCACCCAATCAGATAGTACAAGACCTTACCAGGCCAAGCAAGGGCTAACAAGGGTTATAGTCCCTGGATAGAAATTCTAAACCCCAAATTCTTCCATACTATGACTCTAATATATTACCTATAAAACTAAACTCTAAAAAATGTTTTCCTTATTTGGATATTGGAGTTACTGATGCAGAAAAATAATAAAAAAAACACTTTGTTTAAAAAACTTGTGTTTGGAGAAAAAAAAATTTCCCTTAAGAGACTAAACCTTTAGTAAAAGAGAATATATATATAAAATATATTATGCACATATTATAAATGTATAATGTATATATATTATACATATATGTATAAAGTATAATGCATATATATTATGCATACATATTCACTTTATACAGTTATAATGTTTTGTGGAAACATTTGTTTTATTAAAATTCAAACTTTTGGGGCACCTGGGTGGCTCAGTTGGTTAAGCAACTGCCTTCGGCTCAGGTCATGATCCTGGAGTCCCTGGATCGAGTCCCGCATCGGGCTCCCTGCTTGGCAGGGAGTCTGCTTCTCCCTCTCCCGCTCCCCCCTCTTGTGCTCTCTCTCTCTCTCACTCTCTCTCTCAAATAAATAAATAAAAATTTAAAAAAAAAGCTTCTTTTAAAATTCAAACTTTTGTTTTTCTATAAACAGAATAAAGCATGATTTATCTTCTATTAACAAAAATGAGGATCTTAAATTTGATACATGATAACCAATTAAAATACTGACAGGAGTTAGAAGTTATTTCAGTCATTCTTAAATTACAGTGTCTGCAGCACATTTCTCATAGCTGACCTGAACACATTACCTTTGTTGCAGCATCAAAGCAGATAAATCCTGTGCTAAAGTCAATCGTGAGTCCCATTAGATGACTTTCTAGCACACATGCATATGTCTTGCACTAGATAGAACAGAAAACACTGTTACTTTTCATGTGATTGAACCAATATCAATATTAATAGCCAACATTTATCAAAAACTGTTGTGACAGCTCCATAATAAGTTGTTTACACAATAGGTAACTTAATATCAGCAATAATTGTATAAGAAACATAGTATTATTGACATCTTAATGTTAATAAAGCAAGCCGAATATTTTTTCACCTGCCAAGGGGTATGCAGGACCACATTTCCAATCCTGCTCCATGTGAACTTGTCTTTACCTTGTGCTATACTGACACTCTTTGCTATGTTGGCAATAAAACTGGTATAAACATGTTTAAGTTTAGGCAAAATTATGTTACATTGTTATATTCTATAGCTAAATATCATTGCATTTTCATTAAAACAAAAGTGAATTATTAAAGGTTAAGATATTACTTCAATTCTTGGCATATCAATTTCATGGATATTATTAAAAGAGAACTCTCAGGCACACAAACACAGATCCAGTAACCAAGGCAAAAAATATAAGAACATCTTTACCTTAAGAGTCTGTCATATAATGTTCATCCATGTGGTACAAGTTATATCCCAAAGACATTTACCACTTGCTTATTATTTGTATAAACCTACTGATTCTTCAAAAATCAACAATGACTTTTCACACTGAGATCAGGTTAAATTATATTTTACTTATATAAATATTTTGGAAAAACTACTAAAATAGAAATACTAAAATTTAACAATAACAAATATGAAATAAAAACTCAGGACTTATATGGCACATGATGCATATTTATGTCCACAGGCCAACTTTTTTGCATTTAATTGCAAACTACTGAGATATTAAAATGAGGAAAAATACACATAAATCACAAACAAGGAGGGAGAAAGGGAAGAAGAGAAAGAGATAAACTGATCTTAAGCATTTTTTCAATACTAATTATTACATCATATTTGTTTTATAATACTGTATATAAAAGTACATTAAGTGAATCACATTCTGACTATAATGATGGCTAAATGCATCAAGTTGCCTTCACCAAAAACTATACTCATGGCTTTAAGCCCAATTTGGATAGAAAAGTTATAACCATGCCCAATTATTCCTTTGAAGTCAAGTTTTCAAAAACCAGCTCAGAAAACAAACTTAATGAGCTATTAAGTTCAGTTTTGGGTGTAATTTTATTTGTTTAATGCATGGGCATCTTCCATGTTTTTATCCACCCATCATTAATTTATTAAAACTACTCTCAATATTAAGAAATGTTCAAGGCTATCTCATTCCCTCTAATTTAGACATAATTGTTTGTTGTTCTTAATTACTATTTAAAAGAATACATTGGATGAAAACACCTTCAGTACAGAACATTAAAATCTATCTCATTAAATTCAGAATTACAAATGAAACTCATTCATCAATAATCATTAAATTGAAACAGATATGATATAGAGACTCACTGAAGTTTAATTCTATAATTTATAATCTTTTAATAAACATATATGATGACTATACTTAATATATGTGGTTTTTTTTTAAAGATTTTATTTATTTATTCGAGAGAGAGTGAGATAGAGAGAGCATGAGAGGGGGGAGGGTCAGAGGGAGAAGCAGACTCCCTGCCGAGCAGGGAGCCCGATGCGGGACTTGATCCCAGGACTCCAGGATCATGACCTGAGCCGAAGGCAGTCGCTTAACCAACTGAGCCACCCAGGCGCCCCTAATATATGTTTTAATATTATATTTGATTTTTTTTTTATTTGGCTGCACTTTATTGGCCGTTCTTGGAAGGAATAGTGTAATAAGAATAAACCCTATGTGATTTTTGTGTGTGTGTGTTTTTTTTTTATTTTTTAAAAAATTTTATTATGTTATGTTAATCACCATACATTACATCATTAGTTTTTGATATAGTATTCCATGATTCATTGTTTGCATATAACACCCAGTGCTCCATTCAGTATGTGCCCTCTTTAATACCCAACACCAGGCTAACCCATCCTCCTCCCCTCCTCCCCTCTAGAACCCTCAGTTGATTTGTTTCCTTTCTCTGTTTATTTTATAATAAAAATTGAATTATAGTTAGAAAAAAGCAAAAATTACACTTTTTAGGGACAACTTGAAACATTTTGAAAGATTTTTGCACAATTATATGTTATTACACAACATTTGAAGACATATCACACATAAAATACTTTTTAATATGTCCTTTTGGATGATAACTAAATGTCTGTAGCTGAATTAAACACATATGAGTTTCAAATAATAATAATAATTAAAGAAAATAAATTTTATAAATTATATGATTTTTCATTAAAAGTCCTATTTTAAAAGAGCTATATTTATTCAAATTGAATTATTGTAAGGTAAAAAAAAATTAAATTGTCTACCCTTTACCAGTATTATTTACTTACTCTGGGAAATTTTTCAGAAACAGGACAAATAAAGATACCAAAAGTACTATAAATGAATTAGGCCCAATACAGGTACTTTGAATGTTGATATGTTGTAAGATTTTAGTCATATAAATTGTCATCTTCCTGTTTCAATATTCACTACATTTTCCAAATTTTAAGGTGTTAATTTAAATGACAATGTAGAATGTTTAGAAATACCTGCTCTGAATGGATAACCTCTTAATTAAATATGTAGATATTTATATCAATATTAAGTACATCAGAGATCCAAAAATATGTAAGTAGATAAATAGATTAGAAGCTAAAAGTGTTAGGGTGCAATCCCATGACTGAAAACCAATTTCAAAGTTAAAAAAAAATTATTTAATTCATTGATTTGTATTAGACAATTCATTAATTTTCTATCTTTCTGCCTATTTCACAAAGGGACATATGTTCCTTCTTTATTGTATTTCTTTATCAACTTTAATGCTAGTGGAAATATTGAGAACACAGAAGAAAAAAGAAAAACAGAAGGATGTAAATATATTCACATCCTTGAATTTTGAAAATAACACCACCAAGGTGTTGTCATTGATTATTATTTCTGATGCAGTAAGCAAAGAGAAACTAAAAGATGTATAAAACAACCAAAAGCTAACAAAACATTAAATGTTTTACTTTTCATTTGCTACACACATCTTAAATAAGTATTAAGTATTATGAGATAGTCCAAAGAAATGCATTGAACATCAGCTTAGAGAATATGAAGCCCAGACTCAAAAAACAAAACAAAACAAAACAAAAAAGGTTTTAAATTACATCAGAACAACATAATAGTATCTCATTTCTAAACATCAGGAGACTTAAAAGGAAATCTTAAATTGAGAACAACAGATAGATATCTCTATGTAGTTAGTTACAAGTGAAGTGTGATATTCTAAGAAATTATAATTGGGAAAATTTAAAGATAGCAATATAAATAACAAAAATGTCAACTCCTATTCAACTAACATATTTTAGTGCTTAAAATGGTCTTGGATGTTGATAATTGGAAAAAAATTATATTGAAGATGTTATTCATCTTTCCATTTTAGATATTAAACTATTTATTGAATTGGGATTCTATACAGCTAAGTTATTGAAACAATATTCCTCAGTTACATTAACATTTTAAGATATATGAAGATCAGCAGAGCTATTACGGTCAATTGAGCAATGAAACAAGTGAAATTTGAGTCTTCACCCTGTCTTTTTCCCCTGATTTAAATGTCATACTGGTGCAAACTGATATGTTCAATATAGAAGGTTATAGTCAGAAATAAAGGAAATAAATATATGTTACACATCAGTTCAACAGATTGAAAAAATACACATTCAAGTCTCCTATTATAGCCAAGCATTCCAGGAGAGTCAGTGCTATATTATCATCATCATATGTTTGTTTTTTGAAATTAAGTGTTCATGTGTCTACTTAGGTCCTGGCTCTACAAATCCATTTACATGTGACAAGTGCATCACAACTGTTCAATTTTGCCATCAGTCTCTGTCAGACGTCAGCCACAGAACCAACGTTTGGGAGCCTCATCTATTCCATGGTCCCATGAAGAGACTGAAGGTTCTATGAAGTTTGACTTACATATAACTTCACACTTAAGAAATAAAACTTAATAAATATGCAGTACAAAATGCACTGTACTTCAGCTGGGAAATGAATAAAACAATCCCAAGCAGCCTATAATTTAGTGTGGGGAATAACAAGCACATATCACTCCAATACAAGACAGTGTTAATAGACCTAAGAAAACAGACAAAAAAGTGATATTGGTGCTCACAAGTGGGATGAGTTTGAACAGGATAGTTGTGGCAATAGTGGTAACAATGGGTAGGACAGACAGGAAATCAGGAAAATCTGGGTGACGATATGACCTCTGAAAAAAGTCTCAAATTATGGTTGTGTGGTTTTGAAGGGTAGAGTTGAAGGGAATTATTTCTAGAAAGAAAGAGCACTGTGAGAAAACAAAGCCATTCATGCTAAAAGTTAGGCAGTCATGATTAGAGAACAGGAAATGGCTTTGTAAATTAGTTAAAATCACAGCATTTTCTATTTGAGATTTAAATTCTAGGGCACAGTCATGCATTTTTAGGAGTCACAGATCCTAAAATTTCACAGACTCTCACCTGTATCCGTTCCACCTCCAGAAAGGTTGCTGTTTGGAAGGCTCTTTCCCACTGGGCGAGGTCAGACTCTAACTCCACGGAGAAGTAGAGATCCTCCCCAGACTCAGACTGCACCGTGAAGCAGTGTTTCCGCCGGTCCAGCAGGTCACTGTCCTGATGAAAACCTGGAGTTACACAGGCTGGCATACATCAATCCAGATTGCTAACATGACCATACCTTGAATCAATGTTGACTAAATTCATGGTGGAGATGCCACAGTCATAAAGATTATACTTTATGATATCACTAAGTCTTCATTATAAATGGTCATAGCAGCCTAAATTCCACATCTCCAAGTCCGTAACTAATGCATTTTTTTTTCTGTATCAACACTGAAGCATGCTCATGAAACAGAAGTGAGGATTTTGGCTTCTACGCTTAATAATAATGTAGCTACCAAAGCATTTAACACATGAGATCCAGTTTTTACTGTAGAAGGGATAGCACACACAATCTCCCTTTTCCCTTACAGAGCTGTCAAGATGATCAAGTTAAATAATATTTATTAATATGTTTGCAAATTTTGAAAAGATTAATAAGCATGATATTTCTATTGAGTTGATTTCTTTAACCCCTAAAAAACATCATGACAATATTCATTTACATGAGAAATGAAAAAATGAGTCTAGGTTATCTAAAAAACATTTATTGCCTTTAAAAGATGCATATTTACCTTACTTATGTGACTGTATTTTATTGAGTCAAAAAGACTTTCACATGGCCATTTTTCGGTGTTACTAGAAGTTTTCAACTGTGTTCACACATCTATGTGTGTTTCAATTTCAGAGATGTTAAAAGAAAATGCAGCTAAGAATTGTCGAAATAGGGTAATCCCAGGCCAAATGTCAGATATTGTCTTTGAATTACATGTGGATTGTACTGAATATGGTCAAAGGATAGTAATTGGTGTCTTTCACTATTTCTTATATAGAGTTACATAAAGTATTATCATTAAACACCTAAAATGTTAGAAGGAATTCTTTACTTTGGCGAGCGTTTTCAAAATAATAACTATTTTATTAACAAATCCAATTTTCTTTTTTTTTTTTTTGGTATTTGGATGCTTAAAATACTAGAGGAGAGTGAATGCATGGCAATAGTTCTTCTGGTTGTAGAATTTAGCTTTGATAACTGCTGCCAGGGGATACTCAGAACCTTAAAGGAAGCTAGATTCTCTTTGTATTTATGATTTTCCTATACTATCTTGAGGGAAAAATGAAAACATATTGTCTTCAAAAATATAGTCCAATAGTAAGCAATTATAAAGTACTTTTTAATTAGAGTTTATAATGTTTAGAGGAGTGGCAAAGACAGATATTAAATAAATTAGTACACAAGTAAATATGGACAGATCAGTATAAGTGCCATTATAGAGAGTGAGAATGCAGTTTACATCAAATTGTATTGGTGAGTTAGGGAAATATCTCCTAGGATGTAAATTTCAAACAGTGGCTGAAAGATGAGTGGAAGATTGAAGGTAGACTGGACAGGAAGAAAACTTTTGCAGATAGAGAGGCTGGTATTGGCAGAGGCCTGAAGCAAAAGCATGAGGTACATTCCAGAAATCCAGAGAACAGAAGAGAGAGAGGTTGAGAGCCAACACTGGGAAAGGAGATGGGTCACTGGACAGGTCATGAATTTTGGACTTTAACATAAGTGTAATGACAAGCCACTATATTAAAAAAATAGCCAATCCTCTATTTGTTATAAATATTTCAACTTCTCTATTAGTTATCTGAATTGATAACATTGGTACAAAAATTGTAACTAAACACTACAGAATTTCTGCAAACCCCTCTAGTTTTATGGTTTATTCAATGGGCCTTAACTTTCCTTGTAACAAAATAATCAATGTCATTAACAGCCAGAAAACTGTTGATATTTTTTCCTTCTCATACATTTCATGTTGCTATTAAATCTTAAAATCATCTTCATTTAAGATCCTCTGTCTTCTTGGCAGCTTAACTCCTTTACTCTTTTAAAACTTGAACTAGCCTCTTCAATTACATTACCTAAGCACTGAAACTCTCAAAGATAGAATTCTCGATTCAACTCTGCAAATGTAAGTTGGACATCTATGAACACATGTGGTTATTGGCTATTGCTATTTATAGGACACTCCTCATACACTGACTCAAGCTACAACTTCTGTGGGCATCCAGGCACTTAGGCCTCATGGTTTCCAGAGGGAAACAAGTATGTAAAAATAATAAAAAGCATCATGACAGTCCTATACAGCTAAAGTGCTAAGGAAACAGAGTGAGGAGCAATAAATCATTCTTGAAAGTGGAAAAGAGAAAGTTTTGTTCTAGGAAGAGACTGTCTTATCATCGAGGACTTAGAGACTCATGCAAGAGCAATCGGCTACAAGCCTGAATGGGCTCAGGTGTTCCTGCTAAGAAATGCATTATGACTGCCTGGGCCATGATAACCCCCTGAAGGGTTTGAGGCAAGAGAGAGGCAGAATACACCACTTTACAGAAGGAAGAGCAAGCGAAGCAGAAGATGGAAAAAGTAACATGTTGGAATCCGTTTTTAGAATTTTAGTGAAGAGCGATTATAGCCCAAGTATTTGAAAGAGCTGCTTTAAAAGTAATCATCCAGAATATACATACTCCTCTGCCCTTCCCTCCTGCTGTCTACTGGAGTGCATCTGCTATAGTGATAAGAACACAGGCTGTAGCCTCAGCTGCTGTCTGGATTCAAATCTCAACTCTTTCATTTATGAGGATGTGCTAAGATAATGCATATAAATTTTAGCACAGTTTCTGACATACAGTAGTTCTTTATTAATATTAGAAATTTCTATTATTAATGATATTCAATAAAATAAATATGTATGTCATGTCTTAATCTCTACTTCTTTTTTTTTTTTTTTAAGATTTTATTTATTTATTTGACAGAGACAGAGACAGCGAGAGCAGGAACACAAGCAGGGGGAGTGGGAGAGGGAGAAGCAGGCTTCCCGCGGAGCAGGGAGCCCGATGCAGGGCTCGATGCAGGGCTTGATGCAGGGCTCGATCCCAGGACCCTGGGACCATGACCTGAGCCGAAGGCAGTCGCTTAACCAACTGAGCCACCCAGGCACCCTAATCTCTACTTCTTTAACTTGCTCTCTATACACTTTATCTTTAGTCAAGAGTGTGAGTTTAGCCCCAGTAGAAACAGTAGCCTCTGTAACAACTCTGCTCATTGGAAAGTATCACTTAATTAATGGTAATAAAATAACAGCTACACACATCTTGAGCACTATTTTTGTGCATTGATCTCATTTTCGACTTCTCCTTCAGAAGTATCTTCTAGTTTTTTAGATTTATTTCAAGTCTTCTGGACACTTTCTGCAGACTAATAGCCAAATGCTGTCCACCTTAGGATTTGTCTCAGATTCACAAAGCAATATTACATAGAAAAAACATACTACAATTATGTTTGTTATTAATATATATGCTTTTCCAAGGTATTCAGAGGTTAATAGTGTAACCAAAGTTTTTTTTTTTTTTACTAAAAAAAGAAAAAAAAAACTATGTGTTTAGAATCATTATTGAGATGGTAGACATAACCAGCCATAAATTTTCTACTGTGCTTAAAACATGTAATATTAAAGGCGGAAAAAGCTGCTAAAAATCAACAAGTTATCCCTATGGCAAAGCTTCCACATATATCTATATGGTTTCTTCTCTCTTTGACACTACAATTGTTTCATCCAATATTCTCTAATATGGCAAGTCACTTGTTTCACACTTTTCCAATTACACTTATCATTGTTCTAATAATAGATATATTTTTCTTCAGGTTAATGACACTTGTGGATTTGAAAATGCAAATAGAAAAACAATAGACAGATGAAGGATAAATATTTTTGTATTATTATATTAAATATAAGCTACTCTATAAACAACATGACTTAACTAATATGTTTTTGACTTATGTTTGCTACCACTCCTTTTACTTGGATATAGTGAATGAGGAAATCATTCAATCATTAGTCATGATTATTTAAAACAAACAAAAATGAAAAAATAAAACAAACAAAAATATATTTTTAATAAAACAAGAAGAGAAGGCCCAGCAAGCGTTCTTCAGCTACAAATGATAATTTCTATTTTTTGCAACTACTTTAATAACTAAAAATGAGAGGAAAAAACATACCATCAAAATTAAATTTTACCAATTAATTTTGAATTAGACTTTCAAGAATGAGTGAATCTCTAAAGAGACTTATTAAATCTACATCAAGTCCTGTACAAAAAATGATACTTTTAATGACATTATAATACTATTTTAGATGTTAGGTGATAAAAAATAAAATCAAACCAACTGAGCACTCTATATAGTAAATTAATTCCTTTTTTTGGATTTTAGTAGTCTTATCTGGGAAAAGGAATAAAACTTTAAATCTCCTTGTTCTTCTTAGGCACTTGGAATCCCTGATATAAATGGACATAATAACAAATTTCAGAAAAAAACACAAAGCATATTCTTCAAATATAATCTCTAAATTAATCTGTATAATAATCCATCAAAATAGGCTATCATCTTTATTTCCTTGATGAGGGAACTAGGTCTTGGACATAGTGGTCACTCCCCCCCCCCCCCATTTTTAACCTGTTTGGCCCTAGGGATTAAGATTCCATCAGTTTGGAAGCCATTCAGCTTAAATTTGAACGTCAATTTTACCACTTCTTTTCACATCCCTTAGAATCAGTTCAGGCATTTTTAAAAAGGGAATGATAGTACCTTTCTCAAGATTAAATGAGTTGATATGAGTATATCATTTAGGAAAGTAATGGGCACATAGTAGTGCTCCATAATATCACCAATATTACATAATATCACTAATAATCACAATATTAGCCATCACTAATATTGACTATTACTAAAAATCTGGAATAGATCAGACTCCAAATCCTATGTACATTCTAGCGTGCACACACACACACACACACACACACACACACCCCTTTCTCTGTAATACAGTGTAATGTTGCTACAGAAGGTAGGATACATAAGGACAGTCAGGAAGGCTTCATTTTCTAACAAAATTAACTACCGATATTCACACTGAAAAGGAAACATGTTGGGGCGCCTGGGTGGCTCAGTTGGTTAAGCGACT